CAGTGCTGATGGTAACAGCTGACATTCATGGAGCCCTCACAACGCCGGGCACTGTGCTGAGTGCTTTACATCCTTCGATCCACTGACCTTGACAACGACCCTATGAAATGAATATTGTTATGACTCTCATTTCACAGTTGGGGAAACTGAGGCTCTCAGAGGTAAGTGACCTGCCCAAGGTCACAGGCAATCAGTGGAGGGACAGGGATTCAGAGCCAGCCTTTATGGTCCAAGAGTCTGCTGGGCCCACACAACACCACAAGGCCACCCTGTGCGTATACCTCCTCTCCCCACTCAAGAGGAAGCTCCCTGAATGCGGTCCACAGACCAGGAACACCTGTCCTGGGGGCTGCTGTGGCTGAAATCCAGCTCCAGCTCCACGGCCACGCCTTGCATCCACAGGCCTGCATCCCAGGGGCAACCATTCCTCTTTCCCCTGAAGGCAACATGCAGGTGACAGGAAGCCTGAACGACATAGACATGGCTCAACTCTACCCACAAAGGAGCCTGTGGCAGCTCAGAAATACCCTTCAGTGAATGTTCCCTGCCTTTTAGCACACGCGCACAGCAACCAGGCACCTCCTCCTGAGCAGCAAACATCGCCATTGATGACACTAAGCTCAGTCACGGGATATTTACTCACTGAGTGCCACCTGCAATGTACCACACAGTGGGGGACATGGGCAAATCTGACACAGCCTCAACCGCCAGGAGTTCACAGACCACCAGGGGGACCTGTTACCCAGTGGACCTGATAGTCCCACTAAACTGAACACTCACCCAAGGCCAGCCTTGTACTCTCTCTTCCTCTGTTCTGTGTAGGACTCTGGCTCTCTGGGAGGCAGTGTGGCCAGTGCCTGACAGCAGGGCTCTGGAGCCAAACTGCTTGGGTTCAAATCCGAGTCCTGCCACTTACTAGCCACTTAGAAAAGAGTGAACAACTCCAGCCAAAGACTGCCATCCTCCGAAAGCCCTTCCTGTAAGGCTGGGCCTCAGCTGATGTCTGGGAACATGGATTTTGGGAGGGTTTCCACTATTTTCTGGTTAGAGTGGCTCTCTGTTTTCAAACTGTCTGTGCGAACAGTGTGGCTTATGCTGAGCACCTGCTTTCCTTCTGGGAGTCTGGAATCTTGGTATATGCCAGGCAGACAGTGCCTACTTGGCCAGCCCCCAATAAAAATTCCGGCACTGAGTCTCTAAGAGCTTTCCTGGTAGACAACACTTCACATGTGTTATCACAACTCATGCTGGGGGAATGAAGCATACCCTTTGTGACTCCACTAGGAGAGGACTCTTAAAACTTGCATCCCAGCACTTTGGGAGGCCCAGGTGGGCAGATCATGAGGTCAGGAGATGGAGACTCTCCTGGCCAACATGGTGAAATCCCATCTCTACTAAAAAACAACAAATTAGCTGGGCATGTTGGCATGCACCTGCAGTCCCAGCTACTCAGGAGGCTGAGGCAGGAGACTCGCCTGAACCCAGGAGGCAGAGGCTGCAGTGAGCTGAGATCACGCCACTGCACTCCAGCCTGGGCCATAGAGCGAAAACTCCAGCCCAAAAAAAAAAAAAAAAAAAAAAAGCTTGCAGGTGATTTTCTCCAAGCTTCTCCCCATGAACCTTTTCCCTGTGTTGATTTTGCTTTGTATCTTTTCACTGTAGTAAGTCATAGCAGTGGGTACAACTACAGGCATGCATCACCTAACGACAGAGAGATGTTCCTAGAAATGCATTGTTAGGCGATTTCCTCATTTTGCAAACATCATAGCGTGACTTATTCTAACCCAGATGGTCTAGCCTGCTATTTGCCTACACTCTATGGTACAGTCTATTGCTCCTAGGCTACAAACCTGTACAGCATGTTACCGTACTGAACACTGTAGGTAACTGTAAACACGCTAAGTATTTGTATATATAAATAGATCTAAGTATACAAAAGGTACCAAAGCCTGTAATCCTAGCACTTTGGGAGGCTGAGGTGGCTGGGTCACTTAAGGTCAGGAGTTCAAGATTAGCCTGGCCAATGTGGTGAAACCCTGTCTCTACTAAAAATATGAAAACCAGTTGGACGTGGTGGTGGGTGCCTGTAATCCCAGCTACTCGGAAGGCTGAGGCAAGAGAATCACTTGAATCTGGGAGACAGAGGTTGCAGTGAGCTGAGAATGCACCACTGCACTCCAGCCTGGGTGACAGAGCAAGACTCCATCTAAGAAAAAAAAGAAAGAATATAAAAATATGTACGAAAGACAAAAAAAATGCACTTGCATAGGAAATTGACCATAACTGGAGCTTGCGGGACCGGAAGTTGCTCTGGGCGAGTCAGTGAGTGAGTGGTGAGTGAATGTGAAGGCCTGGGGCATTACTGGACACTGTCAAACTAGAAACGCTGCATCCTCAGGCTACACTAAATTTATTCATTTTATTTGAGACAGAGTCTTACTGTGTTGCCCAGTCTGGAGTGCAGTGGCATGATCTCAGCTCACTGCAACCTCTGCCTCCCAGGTTCAAGCAATTCTCCTGTCTCAGCCTCGAGCAGCTGGAATCACAGACATGTGCCACCATGCTCAGCTAATTCTTTTGTATTTTTAGTAGAGATGGGTTTCGCTATGTTGGCCAGGCTGATCTTGAACGCCTGGCCTCACGTGATCAGCACACCTCGGCCTCCCAAAGTACTGTGATTACAGGTCTGAGCCACAGTGACTGATCACTAAATTTATTTAAAAAGTACATGCTGTGTAGGTTTCTTCAGTAATAAGTTAATCTTGGCTTACTATAACTTATTTACTTTATTTAATTTTACTTTAAGTTCTGGGATACATGTACAGAACGTGCAGGTTTGTTACATAAGTATACATGTGCCATGGTGATTTGCTGCACCTATCAACCCACCACCTAGGTTTTAAGCCCTGCATGCATTAGGTATTTGTCCTAATGTTCTCCTTCCCCTTGTCCCCTACCTGCCAACAGATCCCAGTGTGTGATGTTCCCCTCCCTGGGACTTTATTACCTTTCCATTATTTTTTAACATTTGGACTCTGTGGTAATAACACAGCTTAAGACACAAACACATTGTATAGCTGTACAAAAATAGCTCCTTTCTTTATATCCTTACTCTGTCAACTTTCTATATTTTTCAGATTTAAAAAAAAAAAAAACTTCTTAAACTTTTTTGTCAAAAACTAAGACACAAACACGCACATTAGCCTAGACCCACACAGTGTCAGGATCACCAACATCCCTGCCTTCTGCCTCCACGCCTTGTCCCACTGAAAGGTCTTCAGCGGCAATGACATGCATGGATCTGCCATCTCCTAGGATAACAATGCCTTGTTCTAGACCTGTCCAGACGGACCTGCCTGAGGCTGATTTATAGGTAAGTTTACTTTGGATTTGGTCAGTGGAAGGAATACATTCTAAAATAACAATAAAAAGTGTGTATAGTGAATACGTAAACCAGTAACATAGTCTTTTAGTGTCGTTATCAAGTATTATGTTTGTACATAATTGTACATGCTAGACTTTTTACGACTGGCAGCACAGTAGGTTTCACACCAGAATCACCAAACAGGTGCATGGCGCACTGTGCTATGATGGACAGTACACAGCTACGTCGTCACTGGATGGTGGGAATGTTTCAGCTGCATTACAGTCTTAGGGGAACACCTTCACATATGCAATCTGTTTACTGGATACAACGAATTCTAAATTTTTCTTCAAAGAATCAGCATGTCAATATGTCCAGTTCTTTGTCCTCCATTTTAAAGCTTAATTTCCTTGTAGTTTCGGTATCCACCAGTTCTAATCAGTAGTTCACATGTGTTCCCCTGGTCCCCATCTCCATCCTGACTCATCTCAGTCACCTGCTTCAGTCACCTGCCCTGGTCACCTGCTCCAATCACCTGCTTTGACCTAGGTCACCCCTGGCTACCTGCTCTGACCTGCCCGTAACCATCCTCACCAAACCACCCACCCTGCCCCTCCGGCTTGTACCCCTGCTCTCTTTAGCATAGCCAATCAGGATTAGTCCAGCCTGTGCGGTCTAACCCTAGCCAACAGGGGAATAACACAGCAGTAGCGGCAACCTCCGTCAGGGTAAGTACCCCTTTTCCTCCCTTGTCCGGGTGTGTGCTCACCATTGCTCCATCCATGAGGCGCACCCTTCTATAGAAGCAAACTGCCTTGCTGAGAGGATTTATCTTCGAGTGTTATTTCTTTTGCAGCATTGAAATTTTACTTCAATGACATTGTTCACCAAAATGTCATTAGGTAGCGCATGACTGGACATGTAAGTCCCGTGAGTCACCCTGGAGAATCATTGAACCTGGGGGTGGGTCGTGGGGACTCTGACATTCTAGCCATGGGATCTTGGGCAAATGACTTGACTTCAATGTGTCTTGGTTTCCTCATCTGAAATGGCAGTGATTTTAAAACAGAATCTGTCTCATAAGACTGTGGTAAAGACGACGCAATTCCACATACGTAAATTGCTTAGAATGCCTGGCACTCAGTAGGTGTTTAAGAAACGTGAAGTATTGTTACCTGGTGAATTAACACTTGGTGAATACAGGAATGAGTGAATGTGTGAGCTACAAATGAAGAAACTGAATAACAGAAATAGAGAAGTATTTGTGGGGAACAGCAGAAGCAGAGAGGCCTGCCCACAGACAGCAGGCTTTGGGAAGATCTGGGAAGACAAAATGTGACCAGAAGCTTGACCTAGTGGCAAACGCTGGGCACAAGTAGGAGCGTGGCTGGACAGTAGCACAGACGGGCAGTGGAGCCTCAGCCTGTCCAGCCTGTGGCTGACCTGCCTTGCCGAGGTAGAGGGTCATCCAGGAAAACCAGTGAGGCAGCCTCAGGGCACACAGGAACTGGGGTACCAAGGCCAGCAGCTGGCCCCTCCCCACAACACCAAGGACAGGCAGGAGACCCACACAGCACAGGTGTGAAGAGACACAGATATAAGGCAGGGGGTGTTCAGGTCATGTCATTTCTCTTACCCTTATGTTTTCTTCTGCTGTTATGGTAAAAAGTGCTTTCAGCTGTGTTCTGTTCTAGAAAAGGAAAAAAGAAAACGCTTTCAGCAACAGTTTGGGGTCTGACATGTGGGGTAACATTTGGTGTGATTTCCAACCCACCAAGCCTGGAGCTGGGGTCGGCCCTAACTTCTGCACAGGCCAGAGCTTGTGAAGGTTGCACCATCGGAGGAATGGCCTATGGGCTTAGGATTCCTCCCTCTCTACCAGAGGCTGCATGAAATCCAAACACCAGGCTCGCTAACATCCAAAAAAGTCACAGCAGCATGCCCTTGTGGACAAATGCTTGGGGTGGGGCGCTGACTCCAAGCCCGTGACCAGGGTAGGTCACCTCCGGCCTCCCAGCATCTGCCTCCTTCACAAAGGCAGACAGAATCCTGGGCTCTGACAGGACAGCACTGTTCTTCTCTCCCTCAAATGCATTTGGTTCTCCAAACCCCAACTCCCTGTGGGTCAATTCCTAATGCTCTCTAATATTCCTCTGCTGAGAAGATACATGAAACAGAAAAATGAAGCATGTTACGGCATTCCACCTGTCTAACCGCATGGTGTCTGAGAAGACCCAACATGAGAACACACTTCTTCCTGGGGATGGAGGCAGAAGAGCTTGCAACTGACAGGCAGTATACAGGGTGGTGGCTAGGGCCAGGCTGTCTGAGTTCATACAGGGCTCCACTGCTCACCAACAGTTGTACCTTGGGCAAGGTATTAGCCTCTCTATATCTTTATTTTCTCATCTGTGAAATGGTAATCATATCTAATTCACAGAATGGCTATGAGGATTAAGTTAGGTAATACAGAGCCCTGAAGAGTGCCTGGCACTAGGGGGTGCTATAAAACATTACTGCTGTTGGTGGCAGTCGCTGGTACTAGTAGTATGAGCGGTAGCAGCAGTAGAAGTAGCAATAGCAGGTCAGGTGTGGCGGTTCACACCTGTCATCCCAGCACTTTGGGAGGCCGAGGCAGGCGGATCACCTGAAGTCAGGAGCTCAAGACCAGCCTGGTCAACATGGTGAAACCTGGTCTCTGCTAAGAATACCAAAATTAGCCATGTGTGGTGGCGGGCGCCTGTAATCCCAGCTACTGGCAAGGCTGAGGCAGGAGAATGACTTGAACCTGGGAGGTGGAGGTTGCAATGAGCTGAGATCGTGCCATTGCACTCCACCTTGGGTGACAAGAATGAAACTCTGTATCAAAAAATAATAATAATAATAAATGTTTAAAAAAGCAATAGCAGTAATAGTAGCAGTAGTATCATTATATAGAATCAGACCAGCCGGGAGCGGTGGCTCACGTCTGCAAACCCAGCATTTTGGGAGGCCGAGGCGGGTGGCTCACCCGAGGTCAGGAGCTCGAGGTCAACCTGGCCAACGTGGCGAAACCCCATCTCTACTAAAAATACAAAAATTAGCCAGGAATGGTGGCAGATGCCTGTAATTCCAGCTACTCGGGAGGCTGAGGCAGGAGAATGGCTTGAACCCAGGAGGCGGAGGTTGCAGTGAGCCCAGACCACACCATTGCACTCCAGCCTGGGTGGCAAGAATGAAACTCCGTCTCAAAAAAAAAAAAAAAAGAACCAGACGTTGGGACTTGGAGCTTGCAGCCCAGTGAGCTAAGCAACCTGTGTAATTCTCATTACAGACATGACTAGGGCATTTTTCTGTAACTTGAGCTATGCTCCTCCCAAGGTAACAAATCCCCTGATCCATGCCCTGCAGATGCTACAGCAGCAGGCAAGGAAGCAGCAGGACTTCCCAAATCCACTGTGGGCCAGCAGGCCAACCTCATGGAGGCTTCAGAGAAAATCAAAATACTGTATGTCCTCCTTCCCTAGGAGGTAAATGGAACAGTTTTAGACTTTTTAAAGAAGAGACACCTCTGAAGCATTCACTTGGCCTTTTCTGTTCTGAAGTTGCCTCTCCTTTGGAATACGTCTGGTGCCTTGGAGTCTCAGGGTCTCCTGAGCTGCAGCCTGAGGCTAAGTTCAGAGCCCACATTCCAGTGCATTCTGCTGTGTTCCCCACTTCCTGTGCTTTCTCATGCCCAAGGTCTACACAGATAGGAGCCTAAAGCGTACTATCAAAGCTTGCCTTCAACTCTTTGCAAAACATAAATCCTCGGCTGGGAGCAGTGGCTCACACCTGTAATCCCAGCACTTTGGGAGGTTAAGCAGGTGGATCAGAACGTCAAGAAATCGAGACGATCCTGACCAACATGGTGAACCTCATCTCTACTTAAAAATTTTAGTAGAGATGAAAAAAAAAATTAGCTGGATGTGGTGGTGCATGCCTGTAGTCCCAGCTAGTCAGGGGGCTGAGACAGGAGAATCGCTTGAACCCTGGAGGTGGAGGTTGCAGTGAGCCACAATCGTGCCACTGCACTCCAGCCTGGTGACAGAGTGAGACTCTATCAAAAAAACAAAACAAAAAACCATAAAGCCTCACCCCAGTAAAGGTATGTAGTTATGACATAAACTTCAAGGCTTGAGACATGTGTTTTAATTCCTAGCATGAAGCCAGAAAACATGGACCCAGAGGGAATCAACACATTGTTACTGAGCACCCATCATGTGCAGGGTTCTCTTTTTGGCATTTGTCATTCCCAACAGGTTGATGCCACTTTCTTGGAGACATAGCTATGAATAGGATACACGAGGTCCCTGGTTTCATGGAGCTGACATTCTAGTGAGGGATGGAGGGGATTGCTAGGGGGTAGAGTCAATATCACAGAAAAGAACCAAACAAAGTAACAGGCGGGACTATTTCAGGGCATAGCACGGGAAGCCACAAGGAAGGTCACCCGGGAGCATGCAGGGAGCCAGGCTGTGCCGAGCCACAAGCCACCTGCTGCCCAGCCAGCATGGCCCAGGAGCACACACAGCTGCCCAGGGCTGCAGCTCCTGAGGCTCCTGCCCGAGGACACGGAAGCTTCTGTCCGTTTCATTTCATTCAGAGTTTCTGATTTGCTTTCTGATTCTTACCTTATCTTATATTTTGATTTTAATTTACTTGGTTTCCTGTCTTCTGAAATTGCTGGTATTTATTCTGGGCCATTTTATCCCTAATTTTAAAAATCTGTCTTTGTCCTCTTTTTTACTTTACACTGAATTATTTCCTAAGAGACTTGTCATTCCCAACAAGCTTATGTCATTTTCTTGTATCTTGTATTTAGCCTCTTTCATTTTATATAAATTTATCTAAGATGTTTTTTGATTTTTTTTGTCCCCCTCATTGCAGCAGAAATGTCACATTGGCCTCGCAGCCTCAAGGGTGGAAGGAGGCCCAAGGAGGAGGCTGCAGGGCACAATTTGATTCTGTTATGTGACCTGGGGCGGCCACAATCACGATATGAGCCGCATCTTCCATGTCTGTGAATAGGGAAGACTTTCTCCAGGGGCTGAAACCACAATAAAATGACAAAAGGAAGCAGAGCATCCTGATCTTCTTAAAGTTAGGGACCACATCTCCTCCAGCCTGTACCCACGGTGTGCAGCACCTGCCAATCCGGCAGACAGCCAGTGTTCACTGCAGAAGTGAACTCACCACAGGGGAAGTGAGAGACGGAGAGACTCACTGTAATGGTATTATGGGCCAAACTGTATTCCCCAAAATTCCTATGTTAAAGTCCTAAGTCCCAGTGCCCCAGGATGTGACTGTGTTTGGAAATAGAGTTTTTACAGAGGTAATAAGGTAAAGGGAAGTCACCAGGCTGGGTCCTGGTCTTGCATGCCTGGTATCCTCATGGAAGAGGTTAGGACACAGATGCACAGACAGGAAAGCCCTTAGGAAGACACAGGGAGAAGGCAGCCTCTGCAAGCCAAAGACAGGCTCAGAAGGAATCAGACCTGCAGACACCATGATCTCTGGCTTCCAGCTGCAAGGAAATTACATTTCTGTTGTTTTTAAGTCTAGCCTATGGTACTTTGTTATGGCAGCCCTGGAAAATCAATAGTAATGGTAATTACCAGTTAGGTGCTTACAGGGTGCAGGACACAGGGGTGAGAAATTGACATGTATTGATCACCTATCCTTATAATAACCTCATGTGAGGCTCAGAGGGGTTAAGTAACTTAGGCAAAGTCACATGGGCATGACTAAGGGAGCCAGGTTCCTGGCAAGGTGTGAGATTCCAGGGCCTGTCCCCTCCTCTGCAAGGTGGCATCCCTGAATGAAGGAAGAAGCTAACAGGTCTTCTGCCCAAAGTGTCCCTGTTTCTAAAACAACCTCTCTTGGCAGTGACAAGACAGAGATTAAAGTAACAAAGGTAATACCTGTGATGAGCTCTGAAAGGTGAGCTGGGCAGGAAGTTTGAGGCTTTCTCCGTTCCAGATGTCTCCAGCCTGGAGGGTGGCTGTGTAGCTGACGGCAAAGGCATCTCCCACTGTACAGAGAAAAGCACCTGTGAGTCAGGGAGGGCTTGGCCATGCCCACAGCCACTCCCCACCAAACCCCAGACACATCCTGGCCTCTGGGTGGTTCCAAGGGAGGCCACCAGGGCAGTGACGCCTACAGCAAGGAAGCACTTTGTATTGCACACACCTGATTGCGGGGAGGGAATTCTCTGAGTGGTAAACTGAGGAAAGTGAGCTAGGCAGACTCCCGGTCCTGGAGCTTCCAGTCACGAGCTGGGGTGCACGACCGGCAACAGGGCTGGCTCTCCCCGCCCTTTCTCACTGTGCAGCAGGTCTCATTCCATGAATAAGTCTGGGTGGGCTGCGCTCAGCCCATCCTGCTCGGGAGAGGCGGTAACAGGACTGCAGGCCTTCACCGAGCGTGGTCAGGTGGGTGACAGAGCCCGTCTAACTCTGCCAGTCACTGTTCTTACCTAAGCTTGCCCTCCAATCTTGCCTTTCTCCCTAATCCAGGTTACCTATAGCCCTAAAATGCCACCATATGCCTCATTTCTCAATGTATACAGACCTCAAATACATATATATATATATATATATATAAATACACACACATATTATATATATAGTAAAGAGGAGGAACACTCACTTAGCCTAAGGAATCACTGGAATTTTTGTTTTAAAAATCCTCAACATTTTCATTTTTATTTTTAAATTTTTATTTATTTTTGAGACAGGATCTCTCTCTGTTGCCCAAACGAGTCTTAAACTCCCAGGTTCACGTGATCCTCCTGCCTCATCCTCCTGGGACTTTAGGTGTGGACCACGACCATCTCATTTTATTTTTATATGTGGATAAGAACTAAGATAATGACCTTAAAGTGATAAAGATAATGGTAGTGACAATGACGGGGAAGGTAGTGGCAGTCAGACCTTCCTCACACAGTGATTTGATCACTCTCCACGTGCTGCCCCTGCATTAACCCAGCTGATCCCCATACACTTGCCCCGAGATGGATGGAGAACACGTGAGTTTCTGCAACATACAGAAGAGGAAACTGAGACTGAGAGACAGTAACTGGCTTAGGATCACCTCGCTGATGGACAGGGAGCACTGGCCCTCTGGGTCCCATTATCTTTTCCCCAAACAACAGTGGCTCTAATCAAAGAAACGCAACAAATAATAATAATGACAATAAACGATGACGAGGTCAGAATGTCAATGAACTGGGCCCGACTGGTCATCTGAATTTATAGTTATCTATTTATGCTTTGAGGGGAAAAAAAGTCACCTGTGCCCCAAGATGAAAATCAATGTCACATTCTTTGGCAAAGCAGTGAGTTCACAAATAAATATGATTCGGACACTGCCCTCAGGGAACGCAGAGCCCAGTAGGTAGAGCTAAGCACAGGCACGAATAACAAGAATGGAGCAACAAGATAAAAACGACACCAATTATGGCTGGTGCAGTGGCTCCCAGCGCTTTGGGAGGCCGAGGCAGGTGGATCACCTGAGATCAGGAGTTAGTGACCAGCCTGGCCAACATGGTGAGATCCCACCTCTACTAAAAATACAAGAATCGCTTGAACCCGGAAGGCAGAGGCTGCGGTGAGCCAAGATCGCACCACTGCACTCCAGCCTAGGTGACAAGAGCGAAACTCCTTCTCAAACAAAGAAACAAAACCAACAACAAAATACTTCCTAACACCAGGAGCCCAGGAGCACTTTCCAAGGCTGGGCCACGCCACGCTGCTTTAACTCCCTTACCCTCACAACGCCTTCATAGGTAGGTGTTACTGGCGTACCCACGGGAGAGATGGAGAGCCAAGGTTCAGAGACACAGTGTGCACGTGCCAGAGCAGAGTCCATGAGTTCATGTGTGGAAAGTGCCTAGAATGCCACTAGGCTCCAGGCAGGGAAGCAGGAAGGGGCAGGTAAGTCTCAGTGGGAGTTTGGAGGCAGAGGGGTGACTTTGGGGCAGGGGATTGGGTAGGGCTTTCTAGAAAAGGTGACGCCAGGGCCAGGTCCCAAAGAATGGAGATGATTTGTATATTCAGAGTGGAGAGAGGTGCTTTCCTGACCCACACAAGAGCAAGAGTAGATGCTAGGAGACAGGAGAAGGGTAGGAAGCTGGGTCTGGCAGGAGCACGGACCATGAATGGTCAGCGGGGAAATGAGATGAGAGAGGCCGGAGCTGCAGGACCACAGGCTGGAGAGGGTGTTGGACACCTTCCCTTTACCAGGCAGAGTGCCTGGGTGATGCTGTCTCCTTGGTTGGATCTCTACAACTCCACAATGGACTGATATTCGCACAACCAGAGCACTTCAATAGCTTTCCAGAAGCCATGTAGCTGCCGTCTCCAGGCTGGGAGTCAACCAGGTCCGTCTGAGGCTGTGTCTGTGCTCTGCTCATGGCCCCATGCTCCATTCTTTGAACATGAGTTTAAGAATAGTGGATTCTTTTTTTTTTTTTTTTTTTTTTTTTTTTTTTGAGACGTATTCTCACTCTGTCACCCAGGCTGGAGTGCAATGGTGTGGTCTCAGCTCACTGCAATCTCCGCCTCCCAGGTTCAAGCAATTCTACTGCCTCAGCCTCCTGAGTAGCTGGGATTACAGGTGTGGCCACCACACCCAACTTGTATTTTTAATAGAGATGGGGTTTCACCATGTTGGCCAGGCTGGTCTCAAACTCTTGACCTCAGGTGATCCACCTGCCTCGGCCTCCCAAAGTGCTGGGATTACAGGTGTGAGCCACCATGCCTGGCCTCATTTTTATATCATTGAAGGCAAGAAAGCACTGAAGGTCACGTAGCTGGGACATCTCATAACAACTTTTATGGCATCACTTAAATCAGAGCCAGCAAAAAGGTCACTACTTGCGGGCAAGCTCCAGTAGCAGGTTCTGTTGATAACTGCGCACAGAGGGATTCTGAGGCCGCATCTAAGCTCCAAGGGAAGAAGCAGCATGGCCAGTGAGCACTGTGCATCATGAGTACAGACGCATGGAGCTGGTAAGGGTTCCAGGCGTGTGAGAAGCATGACGGTTTATGGGTGCCAGGGTGCACAGGGGAGCCAGACTGCCTGAGTGTGACTCTCAGCCTTGACAACGGCCAGCCCCATGGCACTGGGCAAGCTTCTCAGCCACTTCAGCTCCAGCCTCTTCATCTGTAAATGAGGTCCTACTAAGAAGAAAAGATGTCTTTGCCCTCCTAGGGAAACAGTTCTGAAGCCATGGTACCAACTGAATCCCAGAAGTGGTTTTCAACCTGCTTAATTGACCAACAACAGCCCAGCTCAGGGAATGAACCTCTGAAAGCCAACCAGTGAGAGTGGCATGGTCTACAAGCCAACCAAGCAGAGGTGGATTTACCCCAGTGAACATGCTTAAACATGCCTGAACATGCCTGGATGCGCCTGGACATCTCAGGAACATGCTACTGAGATGGAGGTCAACCCACCCCCACTCTGTCCAGCACAACCCAAAACAGACTCTTCCTCTTCCTGAGTGATGGTCATTTTGGTGATCTGAGTGACAGGTATACTGGGGTTCACTGTAAACTCTATCTTTGTGTATGTTTGAAATTTTTCATAATAAAAATTGACTGTATGCTTTTTAAAATTCTAGACCAGGCACGGTGGCTCAAGCCTGTAATCCCGGCATTTTGGGAGGCCGAGGCAAGCAGATCACAAAGTTAAGAGATAGAGACCATCCTGGCCAACATGGTGAAACCCCGTCTCTAATTTTAAAAAAACACAAAAATTAGCTGGATGTGGTGGTGTGGGCCTGTGGTCCCAGCTACTTAGGAAGTTGGGGCAGAAGAATCGCTTAAACCCGGGAGGTGGAGGTTGCAGTGAGCCAGGATAATGTCACTGCACTCCAGCCTGGCAACAGAGAGAAACTCCATCTCAGAAAAAAAAAAAAAATTCCCCACAACTGTTGCCCAAATCCAACATCTCTCTAAGGTAAATGAGAAATTCAGCTTTTTGGTGACAGATATTGAACGCAGTCTCTTCTTCTGATACCCTGGTAGTAAACTCCACTGTGCGGATGAAGTGAGTGAACACGTGTAAGGCTTGCAGAACATGTCTGACCCAGAGCACATTCACCTGGAAGTGTCTGCACACGTTCTCATTTGTCATCCCTGACTGAAGAACGCTCTGCTGTTACCTTGTAGAAACTTCTTACTAAAAGCCTGGAATCCTTCTGAGGTTCTGTTTCCAATGGATTCTCCAATGGTGAGACCAGTGATGCTGTCCAGCAAGAGCAGCTCTGAGAGGTTGGCGGACGAGGGTGTCTTGGTGTTGTTAACTAACAGCCATATGTGGGCTGTCTGTGCTTCGCTCGGCCCGGACACCTAGGGCAGGAGGAGAAGGCATGAGGGCAGATTTGCTGACAAGCCCGGCTTCCTAAAATGGGGCACGAGACCAACCTGTGCACATCAGGTCTCCAGGAAGGAGGGTGGCAATGTCTCACAGAGGTTCTGGGAATTTATCAGGCCCTGTATGATTTCAAAGACCCGCAGGAGGGTTTTGAGCCACACTTGCCAAGCTGTTGCTTGGAGACCATTTCAAAGAAACTGAGATGCAGTGAAATCATCCTTGCAGAGAATCTTAGAAGAAAAAATGTCCAAGTGTGGAAACAGGTTGGGGAGATTGTGACAACTGGCGTTACCAAGAAAAGCAAACAACGGCTCTTTGGTACTTAGTTATTTTGAAGATTCAACCTCAGCCCAGGGTCTCTGATGGTCACGTGATTTCCAGGAATGACCTGAGCAACTTATCTGCCTCCTGGATCATCTCCCACATTCAGCCTCTGCCCAGCACGTGTCTCAATGGCTCTGCTGCTGGAAGCCAGCCAGTGGCCCACCCAGAAGGCTCATCACCTGGGCTCTGCACTCTTGCCCTGCCTCCCTCTCTAACCTTGTCTCCCAGCCCCCTGCACCACCTTCTCCCCAGCTCTGCTGACATAGATGCAGGAGCTGGAAAAAAGAGAAGGAAGCAATGTATATACTGAGATGAGCGAGCTCTGGAATATAAGAAGTGATAAAAGCAAGCTTCAGAATGGTATGTGTCACATACTGCCACCTATGTAAGAAAAAGCAAAGTAGGGGGAAAGAAGGTGCACATATGTGTGCCTGCATGTGCACACACCTCTGCCTGCATGCATATGGCAGAAAACGTCTCTAGAAGGATATATGAGAAACTGCTAACACTGACTGCATCCAGGAAGGCAAACAATGTCGCTGAGGGGCTGAGATGAAATGAGGGTGGCACAGTGAAGGCTTAACTCAGCAGGCCTGGGCTGTGCAAACCCTCCACATGCAACAGAAAGGACTGGCCCTTGACCAGCTCCTGAGAGATAACCTCTAAAGCCTGCGGAATATCCTTGCCTGATTACAGTGTGGGTTTTTTTTTTTTTTAAATACCTTAGTCCTTAGACTTTACCAGATAGCTGATGCCAATGATCTGTGGTGGGTGCCTTGGACCCTGCTGTACTGAAACGACCCCTGGAGGGGCTGGAGAACGAGTAATTGAGGTCAGTCTCTTGGATGCTCCATGCCTATGTGACTGAGCCTGAGGAAAACCCTGGACAGCAAGACTCCAGTGAGCTTCCCCGGTTCACAGTACTCCATCCACATTGTCACACATCATTGCTGGGAGAACTAAGCTCTGTCCACACAACTCAGCCACCGGGCGAGGAAAATCGGAAGCTCACGGCTGGTCTCTCCTGGCTTCTGCAACATTCGTCGTTTTCCTCTCCTGTACCCTTTCTCTGTAATGAGCTGTAACTGAGCATAATGGCTTCTCTGAGCTCTGTAAGTTTTTCCTGCAAATCACTGAACCTAAGGCAGGTGCTGGAGTCCCTGATACAAGGATACTATGTGGAATTAGTAATCATCTTGTGGGATGAGGAAGGTTAAAGACCTAAAAATCATCGAGCAATGTTTAAAACTGCCAGGTATCATACTAATGATTACAATCTGAAAGAAAATGTATCGTACTTTTTCACATTCTAAATGATCACTGTGCATTTTTAGTGACAATTATTTAATTGTAACAAAAAAAAACCTCAGTGTTAGTACTACCATATGAGATCTCAGAGCCCTTGCTATGCATTCATTGCTTGTGTGTCTAGACTTGTGTAGGTATGCCCATGATTTATCAGTGCTTAAATACATGACTCTATTAAAATGACTTGGGCAAAATCCAATGATTTTCTCTTCAAAGGTAAATCCCCAATGGAAACTTACCAGTGCACATTTCTGAAAAATTACTCCATTCTCAGAAGTCCCTTGAACTTCTCTTGAAATGTCTCCATACTACAATAAAAAGTAAAAGTTATTAGAAAATGAGAAATATTTCATGCTATACATAGTTAATAAAAGTACAAGATGATGAAATTTTTACAGGTGGGTAGAAGGATTATTGCTACTAATCCTTAAGTAATCTTGAAGTCTTATTTTTAAAAGGGCATTAAAGGATTGGAAATTAAAACCTACAGAAAGAAGAATGCGGACTTCAGATTATACCACGTGTATTCCCAGTCTGGGTGCATGTGTGCGACACATGCTGTCACTGGGACTCAGCCAACCCAGACTGATATACAAGCAAGGGGAATGTGGGCAGACCAATGAAGATATCATTTCACATGCACCATGTGCTTCCCAGGTGTGGGCTGACTTAGTACACGCATGCACCATGGTGCGCTAGAACAAAGGGCAGTGTGTTTGGGAGCTGGGGGCGGCCTCTGTGAGCTTGATCCCTCATCAACATAGGGCATCCCCCCCAGGCTTGGCCTCCTCCAGCCCTGCAATGGCTCCTATGAAAAGATTCCAAAGGAAAGCCAGGATTCGCCCATCAAATACAAGCCTCCTGCAGTCCTTGAAACCCCAGGTTTCCGTTCCCTTTGTACTCACAACCAATGTTTGTTCATTTCTGCCCTGGCCATGCTCCCTACCCTAGGGCCCTGGCCCCTACAATGTCCACACGCCTCCTTTAAATGGGACTGGACCCTGACTTCATCCGGGAAGCTCGCCTTGCTTGATGACCATGTCTTTCCCACTCTCTGCCTTGCGCACCTGTCACCTGCAGTGGGACAAGCTGTATTCCGAGTCATAGACTATGGCAGCTCTCAGTGATATGAATAAGCATATGCAAATTTATTTTTTAGTTTTGTAGAGATGGGGTCTTTCTATGTTTCCCAGGCTGGTCTTGGACTCCTGGCCTCAAGTGATCCTCCTGCCTTGGCCTCCCAAGGTGCTGGGATGACAGACGGGAGCCACCACACTGGGTCTAATAACCATAAAATGTCTGTCATTTACTGAGGGCCAGGCATGGCACCCATCATTTTACATACTTGAGTTCTATCACTCCCATTTTATATATGAGGAAACGAAGGCTCAGAAAGGTTAACTCCCTTGCCAAAGGTCACGTAGGCAGGAAGCTTGAGACTGTACCCAGGACTGTGTGACTCCAAATCCTATGATCTTTCCACAGCTCACATTCCCCCTCCACAGTGTAACCCTCTCATTGCGTAAAAAATCGACAAAAAGGCAGTTTTCCAAAGAACACACTGACAATGTGCAGCAATCTCGGCCTGACTCAGGTCTTTGATTCAGCTGAGCTTCCATCCACCACGCCCACCCTAATGCCTTTTTAACATGCTGGGACCCTAAGAGAATTAATTTGCCAAAGCCCTCAAGCAGGGACCTGGCTTTCTCTTCTTCTGACCTTCACATAGCATCTTGTAAACAATAACTGATAGATACAGCTTGTGGGGCAAGTAAGTGCAGAAGGGACGACTGAGTGTGGAGGGTGCTGCCCTGCGAGGTGGTGATGAGTTACCTGTGACTGGGGAGGACTGGAAAGAACAGTGAGTCTGGGAATGGGTTCAGTGGTGGCCCCCAAAGGATATGTCCATGCTCTGATCCGCAGAAACTGTGAACGTGTCCTGATTTGGAATAGAGGTCTCTGCAGATATAATGAAGCTAAGGATCCCAAGAGATCATCCTGGACTATCCAGGTGGGCCTGACGTCCAATGACAAGTGTCCTTATAAGTGGCACACAGAGAAGACCCAGACACAGAGGAAGCCAAGTGCAGACGGAGGCAGAGAGGAAAGCAATGCAGCCGCAGCCAAGCAAGGCCTGGAGCCACCAGAAGCTGGAAGAGGCAGGAGCATCCTCCCTTACAGGCTGTAGAGGGGACGTGGCCCTGTCAGCACCAAGATTCCAGCCTTCCAGCCTCCACAGCAGTGAGAAAGTACATTCCTGTTGTTTTCAGCCACAACGTCTGTGGTCATGTGTTATGGCAGCCCCAGGAAATCAATAGCACTACTTAGCAGGGAGCCCAAACAAGGGCTCTTGGCCATCGTAGCTCATTGGCCAAGCTCAATGGTTTGCATACCATGTTAAGTCACTGAACCCATGTTACATAAAACAGAATAGAAAACAACAGCAAGAGTACGGAGCAGTGGTTACAGAAGACGCTTCCAATCTGAGATCTAACACTTCCACCTGTGGACATGGAACTAGTTTCTTAATCTCCCTAATCCTCAATTTCCCATCTGTAAAATGAGAATGAAAATATGACTATTTAAGAAACTCATAATAAGGCTCAAGTGAGATTATGCGCAGAAAGTGCTAACCCCAGCGCCCGGCCCATAGGAAATGCTTGTGAGAAGCTCACTGCTCTTACGGGCAGTCATCTTTAATAGCTGGGAGTGATTCCGCCTGGTTTAAGCACAATCCACTCCGTGCTTCGGAAACACCAGAAGAGGCACACCTAATTCTTTGATTCAAACCTCTTCACCATCTAAATACCGTATATCATGTAGCAGAAAGAGGGCCTTGGAAAAAGAAATGGCTTTGCTCCCCAATGATAACTATGTTTAGTGAAAGAGGAGGAATAGGCTCTTTTTTTTTTTTTTTTGAGACGGAGTTTCGCTCTTGTTACCCAGGCTGGAGTGCAATGGCGTGATCTCGGCTCACCGCAACCTCCATCTCCTGGGTTCAGGCAATTCCCCTGCCTCAGCCTCCTGAGTAGCTGGGATTACAGGCACGCACCACCATGCCCAGCTAATTTTTTGTAGTTTTAGTAGAGGCAGGGTTTCACCATGTTGACCAGGATGGTCTCGATCTCTTGACCTCGTGATCCACCCACCTCGGCCTCCCAAAGTGCTGGGATTACAGGCTTGAGCCACCGCGCCCGGCCGGAATAGGCTCTTTTAAGCAACAAAAAGCCTGTGTCATTTTATAAACAGCCCAAAATTGGATTCTTTCCAACTTCTGGTATTTGTGTTAAACTACTGAACTTACTACTTACCAGGCGGTGTGTTATCGGAGACTCTCTTTTAAATAAGTTCTTCTTAGGCCAGGAGGGTATAAAAGCAAAAAAGGAATGAGCCCAGGGCCCACTAGAGGCTGCAGAAGTTGACAGTGGGATACAGACTTCCATTTTCTTGTCCAATTTCACTCCAAGTGGTGCTTCCACTGGAAAACAGCAACGCACATGTCTTATATAACGCGGAAAGACAGTAAGACATAGAGCTTAGCCTCTAGAGGCAGACTCCAGGGTATGTGGAAGGCACCTGGAAAATGTGTGCTGGGTAAGTAAGTTAATGAATGAATGAATGATACCACTGTGTGCTGGATAAGTTAATGAATGAATGAATGATACCACTGTGTGCTGGGTGAATTAATGATATAATCTCTCTGCCAGGAAAATGAGACGTGCTAATTGGGAAGCTACAGAGCTTAAGAAGAGCGTTTTTCAAAGCCTGGTCTCGTTACCTGGGTTGTGCAGCCCCACATAAGAATCAGAACCGCCGGGCAAGAATGGTGCCTGGGGTGATTCTTACGCACATGATATTAGACAGCCCTGGGATCGAGTGCTGGCTCTGCCCCTCCAGCTATGAGTCCTTGGGCATAACCTCTAACCTCTCTATACCTTGGTTTGCTTAATTCTAAGGTAAACAGCGCAGGTCTTACATTACTAGGTCCTTCTGAGCACCTGCCTACTGCAGAGACCTCAGTGAACACCTTCAACCACCATCCTAAAGAGGATGTGTGCACGGCCAGACACAAACGCCTGCTGAGCCCTCCAGTAAGAAATGACTCCCTTAGATGTTTCTCTGTGTTGATACATTTGGAAAGTTCATGAGCACTGTGTGTGAGGCACAGGAATGTCACTTAAAAGGTCCTGGCTGGGCTGTCAGCGTCCTCTTGAGGCGACGCAGCCCAGGTGCTGCTCAGCTGTGGGACCTTGCACAGGTCAACTGAGTTCTCTGGGCCTCAGTTCCCTTTACCTGGGAGCGTGGTTAAGATGCCAGTCAGAGAGGGTTGTTGTCTGAGCAGCCCATCAAATGCCACACTGCACATGAACATGCTCAAATATATTAAATGCTTCAAGTCAGAAATTCTAGTTTTGAAATGACCTGGATGGCGGAGTTGTGCCTTCCTCAACATGTATCTCCTATTCAGAGACAAACTACTTTGACTGGATATCTGAAAATAGCATGGACTTTTCAGTCTTTCCTACCCAGTATATTAATGGTAAGGATTTTACAAGTGCTTTTGAAACCTCCTATAGCATTTCAAAATATATGCAGGAAAAAATTAAAATTTGATAAAAAAGATGTGGACCTGGGTCCTAGATTAAATTACGGTATTTTTTCCCCTTCCTTGGGTAGCATCTGGGGGTGACTCAGTTCCTCCGGTTGGGGCTCCTACTGCATCAAGCATTGGGAGACTGACGGCCCTCGCCATGGAAACAGCTGGGTGCTCCAGCAGGTCAGTGGCTGATTCAGAGCATCGGGAATGTCCAGGTAGGGAGTCCAGGTGCAAGTGAGACCGGACATCCACCTCTGGACCCCAGCATAGTACCTGGGGCCAGGGCACAAATGCCTGTGAAGCAGCATGGACATAAAATCTACAGGCCACACCTCACCCTCATGCGCACCATCTCTGGTCCACCCATTTATGCCCCTGTGGCTCTTCTGGTCCTCAGCTTTAATGAAAACTCCAAGGCAATCCCTCCCTTCAGAGAGGATCCCTCCTCTATTCAGCAAGAATCCTGCTCGGTCTGTAGAGCCAAGTGGGGCCCACCTGAATTTCAGCTCAATCACAGCCTGTTCCTCAGGACCCCACAGATAGGCACAGAACCCAGAAAACCCCACCCACTGGCCCCAGGGATAGGTTTGGGGACCCACGCTGAGCCCATAGGTCTACACTGGAACTGCCACAACAGCTAGGAAAAGTCTGCGCTTAGGTGCCAGCCATCAGGCTCAGAAGCCGGGACTGCCTGCAGCATCTTTCTCACCATGGGAAAAGGATGTGCCTGCCTGAGAAGGATGCTCACCAGAGGAAAGCAGGGAGGCCGAGAGGGAGGGAGAAAGGCAGAGCCACAGGAACACTGAGAACCTCAAGCTCTGGGTCCAGCAGTACTGTGGCCTGCGTGTTTCAGTTACCGACGCGGATCAATTCCCTCTCACTTAAATGACTGTCAGTTGAATTTCAACCACTGAATATGGCAAGCTGAATAAAGGTCCACAAAGACAGCCAGGCCCTCACCCCATGAGTCTGTGAATGTTATCTTAGGGTTGCAGACACTTTGCGGATGTGATTTGATGAAGGGCCTGGAGGCAGGGAGATTGCCTGGATTATCCTGGTGGGCCCTAAATGTCATCACAGATGTCCTTGTAAGGCCAAGTAACTACTGAGGCACGACGCCATGCTGCTGGCTTCCAAAACCGAGGAACGCAGCATCCCTCATCCATCTCTAAGGAACTCAGGCAACGTGGCCACAGACGCTGGAAAAGGAGAGGAAATGCGCTCTCTTCTGGAACCTCCAGAGGGGTCAGGCAGACACCTTAACTTTGGCTAGTGAAACTGTTGCAGAATATTCAGGAGACTGGAGAAACCCATGGGTGAAACAGAGGATGTTATTAAGGTCGCCACCAGCTCAGCAGATTAGCATTGCAAGGCTGAGCAAAGGAGAAAGAAAACGGGGTACTTTTTATACATCCAGAATGACTAGCAGCTGACAGGTTTACAGACGCCAGAACAAAAAACAGTTAATTAATTTGTAACATGCCTTGTGATGTACGTTACATTTGAAAAATAGCATTTTGAGAAACACATTGTACATTCTTGGGTGTTATCTTGCCCCGTGACCTTGTAGCTGGTCAGCAAGAAAAACAGGAGTCTTGAGATGCCTGGGAACTTTGCTGAGAATGTGGGGAGAATAGATAAGGTAGGTTTTACAGGGAGTTGTTAATTTCAAGCAGAGCTGGGAGTTAGGTTTTATGTTGAACACAACACAGTAAACTTTATTATGTAGCACTTACAGACTACCATTGTTACTAGTTAATTTCCCTCTTCAAAACTGATATTGGACTTCTGCACTCCAAAACTGTAAGAGAATAAATGTGTGTGGCTGAAGCCACTGAGTTTGTGAACATTTGTCAGGGAAGCCACAGGAAACAATACACCCAGGTAATTCACACATTCTGTTTCATTCACCAAATGCCTTCAGGGGACATTGAAAAGGGCCTACCTCACCCCAGATTCCACTGTGCACTGCCGCAGGCCAGCTCTGAGGAGGAGGCCCACAGCGCTGGTTCTGTAGGGTCAGGGAATGACCTACCTGCTCAAAGAAGAGAGGTGCTGGAAGCATCAGCAGAGTGTGAGGGAGCTGGAGGAAGGAGGGCTTCAGGGTTCTGGTTCTTTCATGCTCAAGACAGGGGAACATCAACCAGAAGAAAAACTCACCTGCAGTCTTAAAGTGACAGCATTCCACTTTGGGCCAAATCGTACAGGGCAAGTCCTAAAAAATTCAAAAGACACAAAGTCATTAATGAAGCACATACTTGTGAGAAGTGGTGATAAATAATCTTTGTAAATGGTTCACATGGAGAGGACCTGCAGTTTTATCCAGAAGTGTGAAGTAAACTCTTCCAAGCCAGCCATCCCCACCAAGCTTCTGAGTAGAGAATTCCCTTCTTTTCCCAGGGAGAGAATCAGCGCCTTCATGACTACATTTCTGGGAGCTGTCAAGGGAGGCCACACCATGTGATTGAAATGTCTTATCATCAGATGGACCTGGGTTCAAACTTCAGCCTTGCCCTCCATCAACTCTGAGACCCTGGGTAAGCCAAGAGTCTCCGGATTCCCAAGATCTCGCAAGTTTTCAGAGTGGCAGATAAGACACTCGATGGGGAGTGGAGAAAGCTGGACTCCAGCTGGAGCCATTTATTTGCTGTGTGTCCTTGGCTAAGTCTCTTAGCCTCTCTGAGCCTCAGATCCCTCTTCTGAAAAGTGACTTCAAAGCCTCCCCTGAGTCGTCTCAGTCTCTTTTGTGATGGAAACTGGTCTATACTGAGCCTGACCAAAACCTCCCAATTTGTTCCTTCGTGAATCGCTGGGCTCTAGAAAGACTCAGACCTCTCTACTGAATAATAATGAAAGCTCTCCTGGATGGAACCTCCTCAGTGTGTCAGTGCTTACGCTGTGTGTACCACGTGAACTGTACAAGTAGTTCCTATTGTAACCCATGAAGCATCATTTTCATTTCACAGCGCTACCCCGAGTCTACGGTAACTAGATAACTCACTCCAGAGCCCGGTATGCAAGCAGCCTGGCCCAGCACATGTGCTCACCCTGCACGTGATGGCTGGTTTCCGTGTAATGGAAGAAGAAAGGATGTGTATGTGAGCTAAGTGGGATGCTCAGGCCTGGCTTTGGGGTTCAGTTCCATGACTAGTTCCTGTGGCTAATGATCACGTGGCTCTCACACGGGCCAGATGCCATGGAAAGCATGAGACGGGACGGGATCAATGGGACACTGTTGTGGCCACTGTCTGTGTGTTTCAGGCCCAGTCCTTACAGGCCTCCAAGACCCTGGCTGTGGCAGTTCTGCTGGGGTGACGTAAGCCCAGCTGGGCTGTAAGCTGATTTTCCCCCAAAGGCGCAGAGGAGGCCCCCGCACAGAGATTGAGTCTCATGCAGGGACACAGAGGAAATTATGGAAATTGCAGAGACAGAGGCAGAGACGGGCAAGAGAGAAAACGGATGCAGCTCGATCCAGCCAGGCTTCTACCAAACCCACCCCAGTATTCCCAGTTGATGAAGCCAAACATTTGGCTTCAGTTTGTTCATATGGAGCTTCTGTTATGTTATGGGCAGTGTAAAGAATTCTATTTAAAACAGTAAATGATGGTACAAACATTCTATGGAGTACTAGGCAGCTATTAAAAGGAATAAAGCAACATGATTCAGAATTCCACTTCTGGGTATATATGCAAAGTAACTGAAAGCAGGGTCTTGAAGAGATATTTGTACATCTGTGTTCACAGCAGCATAATTCACGATAGCCAAAAGTGGAAGTAAGCCAAACATCCATCAATGGATGAATGAATTAGCTAAATGTGGTCTATCCATAAAATGGAATATTATACACACTTGGAAAGGAAGGAAGCTGGGTATGGTGGCTCAAACTTGTCATCCCAGGACTTTGGGAGGCCAACGTGGTTAAAGCACTTGAGGCCAGAAGTTCGAGACCGGCCTGGCCAACATGGCAAAACTCTGTCTCTACTAAAAATACAAAAAATTAGCCAGACATCGTGGCACACACCTGTAGTCCCAGCTGCTTAGGAGGCTGAAGTTTGAAAATCACTTCGACCCAGGAGGCAGAAGTTGCAGTGAGCTGAGATCGCACCACTGCACTCCAGCCTGAGTGACAGAGTGAGACTTGGTCTCAAACAAACAAACAAACAAAAACACACACAAAAAAAGAGACTGGGTGAGGTGGCTCATGCCTGTAATCCCAGCACTTTGCAGGTGGATCACGAGGTCAGAAGATCGAGACTATACTGGCCAACATGCTGAAACCCATCTCTACTAAATACAAAAATTAGCTGGGCTTGGTGGCATGCGCCTGTAGTCCCAGCTACTAAAAAGGCTGAGACAGGAGAATCGCCTGAACCCAGGAAGCGGAGGTTGCAGTGAGCGGAGATCGCGCCACTGCAATCCAGCCTGGGTGACAGAGCGAGACTCTGTCTCAAAAAAAAAAAGAAGAGAAAAGAAAAAAAGAAAGGAAGGAGATTGTAACACAGTTTCCAACATGGGGGAACCTTGAGGAAAGTATGCAAAGTGAAATAAGCCAGTTACGAAAGCACGAGTCCTGTATGGTTGCACTCATATGAGATCCCTAAAGTAGTTAAATTCATAAAGACAGAAAGCAGAAAGGTGGCTGCCAGGGACTGAGGGGTCATAAAAATGAGAAGTTATTGTTTAATGGGGACGGAGTTTTACAAGATGAAAAGAGTTCTGGACATTGGTTGTCCAACAATGTGAATATACTTCACACTACTGACCTATACACTTAAAAATGGTTAAGATGCTAAATTTTGTTATGTCCATTTTACCGTTATTAAAAATAAAAATGGACCAGGCATGGTAACTCATGCCTATAATCCCAGCAATCTGAGAGGCCAAGGCAGGAGTATCACTGGAGCCCAGGAGTTGGAGACAAGCCTGAGCAGCACAGAAAGAACCCATCTCTACAAAGAATGTTTTAAAAATTAGCCAGATGTGATGGTGCATGCCTGTAACCTCCCAGCTATTTGGGAACCTGAGATGAAAGGATCACTTGAGCTCAGGGGTTCGAGGCTGCAGTGAGCTGTGACCATGCTACTGCACTCCAGCCTCAGTGACAGAGCAAGACCCTGTCTCAAAAAATGAAAATAAATAACTACATAAATAATAAATGAAGCAGACCTGCGTTTTCCTAGAAAGAACTCTAAGATGATTAAGTGAAATCTCCAAGTCACAAAACTATACTTTCCCATTAAATCAAAATGGGATTTTTATATATTCAGTACTATGTAATAGTTACATTTCTCTATTTACTTTATATATTTATATTAATGCACTACGTGTATGTGTTTATATATTCGATATTATACTTACATATTCCATAATGTATTTAATACTAGTATTTACACATTTAATAGAATGTACACTACAATATATCATAACACTATACTATTTTTAAAGCCTAGAAAGGGGACATTCTCAAGTGTTCCCAGTGGCCACTGTGGGGGAGGAGGGGTGTGGGTGGAGGCAGGAGAGGAAGACTCATTATTTTGGTGCCACCTATGTTGCTTCATTTCTCACCATGAGGAGCACATGACCACGTGTCACTGCAACACCAGTGACAACAACAAAAACAGAGACTCAGTAATGGGCGCCAGCCACGGCGCTCCTTTGCAGGCCTGTTTCTCTGGGGTTTCGGCTTCCAAGCCTCTCACACCTGATAGGAATGCTGTCCCCAGGAGCCTCCTTGGACAGCTCGGTGGGCCCAGGACAACTGCTAGCTCATGAAGTGTCTTCTACAAGGTAGAGGAAAGCATCCTTCCTCAAGAGAACACGTCCATCTGCCAGAAACGTTTGCAAGCTGCTCAAGTGGATGGAATAGGCCTCTACTGCCACGTGGCAGGAAAAAAATGTGGAGAAAACCCCACACCCAGGCTGTGCACATCGACTTCCTTCCAACAAAGACAGTACAGTCACGCAGCCATGAACAATGGGGATATCGTCTGAACAGTGCACCATCAGGCAACGTCATCATTGTGTGAATATGAAAAGGTACACTTACACACCCCTAGACGGTGCAGCCAGCCCCACACCTAGGCAGTATGGTGTCGCCTACTGCTCCTGGGCGACATAGCTGTACAGCAGTCACCGTGCTGGATGCCACAGGCAACTGTAACGCAATGTAAGTATTTGCATATCTAAACACAGAAAAGGCACAGTGAACATAGAGCATTATAATCTTATGAGACCACTGCTGTATAGGCGGCCTGTCCTTGATGGAAACCTGGTAATGCAATGCATGACTGTGTAGAAAGTGGGGAAAGGGCAGTACATTTGTCTGCTCTCATGCTGCTAATAAAGGCATACCTGAGACTGGGTCATTTATAAAGGAAAGAGGTTTAATGGACTCACAGTTCCACATGGCTGGGGAGGCCTCACAATCATGGCAGAAGGCAAATGAGGACCAAAGTCACATCTTACACAGCAGCAGGCAAGACAGCATGTTGGGGGAACTCCCCTTTATAAAACCACCAGATCTCATGAGACTTATTCACTATCGCGAGAACATTACGGGAAAGACCCGCCCCCATGATTCAATTACCTCCAACTGGGTCCCTCCCACTTCACATGGGGATTATGGGAGCTACAGTTCATGATGAGATTTGGGTGGGGACACAGCCAAACCATATCATAGTTTCACAATGGAGCAGCCCGACAAACCCTGCTGCAGCCCAGTGACCCAGGCCAGCGCCAACAGCAGTAAGTCATGCTGACGGCACATACTCAGAAAAATTCCTAGGCAGGGCATCCTACAAGACCCCAGACCAGACTGCCTGGGAACTGTCAAGGTTATCAAGAATAAGGAAAGTCTGAGAAGCTGTCATAGCAAAGAGGAGCCCAAGGAGATGTGACAAAATATAATGTGGGCTCCTGGGTGGGACCCTGGAGCAGAAAGTGAACCTTCAGTAAAAACTAAGAAAACCTGAATGAACTATGGGCTTTAATAATAATTTGTCAATATTGGACCATTTAGTGTAACAAATGTACCACACTAATACCTAGTTAATAATGAGGGGAAGGCTGGCCATGTTGGTTCATGCCTATAATCCCAGCACTTTGAGAAGCCAAAGAAGGAAGATCGCTTGAGCCTAGAACTTCAAGATCAGCCTGGACAACATAGCGAGACCCCATCTCTACAAAATAATAATAATAATAATAAAATTAGCCAGG